GGAGAGTCATTAGGGAGAGAATAGAAACAGATCTACTGTAAACAACAACAGCTGCTGCCGCCCTGCATCAGAACCATCAGAACCAAACAGAACCAATAAGTGTTTAGTTTCAATAAAAACTTGTTTGCATGTCTGATACTGTTTCATTACAAACACTTGTTAGAAATTCAGATATTGTAGAGTTATGATACCACCTGCATGTAATTTAACAGGTCAGACATTCTGATGAAATAATAATAATAACAATAATCAATTTAATTTGTACCGCACTTTTCATTAGAAAAAATCTCAATGTGCTGCACAGTGCAACTAAAATCATAGATAAAATCAACATCATAAATCATGTGGAGGCAGAATAGGCTTGGTTAAATAAAAAAGTCTTTAAGCCTCTTTTGAAGTGAACCAGTGGTTGCTGAGCTCTCAAATAATCCGGGAGAGAGTTCCAGAGACGGGGGGCAGCCCAGCGAATGCCCGATCTCCCATGGTCCTTAATCTGGAGCGAGGAAGGTGGAGGAAGTTGCTGTCTTGTGATCGCAGAGATCTGGTGGATGAAATCCGGAGAGGGTCCGTTTAAACACTGATGGGTAATGAGAGAGGTTTTGTACTAAATTCTGTAACAGGAAGCCAGTGAAGGTCATGCAGAATAAGGTGTAATATGGGCAGATTTACGGGCCCTCAATGAATCCTGGCTGCGCTGGTCTGAATGTATTGGAGCTTCTGGAGATGTTTTTTATGGATCCAACAAACAGAGAGTTGCAGTAGTCGAGCCTGGAGGAGACAAAGGCATGGACGAGAGACTCGGCATCAGAGAAAGAGAGAGACGGACGAATTTTGGAGATATTGCGAAGATGAAAGAAAAATGTTTTAAATAGATGCTTAATATGATTTTCAAATGTAAGATGAGGATCCATTCTAACTCCAAGATCTGTAACAGTGGTGGAAAGGGGGATGTCTTGTCCAGAGAAGAAGATTGTCATCAAAGTTGAAGATTGGACCTGGTGAGGTGTTCCGATCAACATGGCCTCAGTTTGGAGCAGTTTAACTGAAGAAAGTTCTGATTCATCCACGTCCTCATCTCCTCCAGGCAAGTGGTGAAGGCAGTGAGTGAAAATGGTGATGATGCTCCAGTTCTGATGTAAAGTTGTATATCGTCGGCATAGCAGTGGAAGGAGATATTGTGCCGATTAATGACTTGACCCAAAGGCAGCATGTAGAGGGAAAATAGCAGGGGCCCCAGAACTGACCCTTGTGGGACACCACAGGAGACAGAGAGCCTGGGACTTGGCCTTGCCAAGGCTAACACATTCCAGCCAGTTGGAGAGGATTTAAACCAGTCCAGAACAGAGTCACAGAGACCGACCTCCACATGAAGACGGTGTAGGAGGATATTATGGTCCACAGTGTCAAAGGCTGCAGTTAGGTCAGGGAGGACAAGGAGAGAAGTAGGACCAGTATCAGCTGCCATGAGGACATCATTAGTAACTCTCAGCCAAGCGGTCTCAGTACTGAGCAGAACAAAACCCAGACTGAAATTTCTCATCAGAGTTTTGTTGTAGGTGGAGCTGCAGCCTTTTCCAGCACTTTTGACAGGAAGGGGAGGTGAGAGATTGGGAATATCTGGATCCAAGGTAGATTTCTTTAGAAGAGGTTTAATGACAGCTGTTTTAAGAGGCAATGGGACATGACCAGATTTCAGTGATTTGTTTATTATTTGTGTGATTAGTGGGCTTATTGCAGCATGATTAGATTTTATGAGTGATGAGGGGAAGGGATCCAGGGCACAAGATGAAGGCTTCATTTTCTTCAGGATAGCCTCCACTTCACTCTGAGCAACATCGTCAAAGCAGCTCAGGGACCCATGATGTCCCAGGGTAGATGCCAGCCGAAGATCAGGGAGGCTATGGAGCTGAGAGCTAACAGAGTTAACTTTGTTTTTGAAAAATGAGAGAAACAGGTTGCATTTTTGAGTCGAATCTTCAGCATGACTTTGTGTAATGGGATGAAGGAGATGGTTTATTGTAGAGAAAAGCTGCTTAGGATTTCCTGGACAGCTGTTGATGATGTTGGAATAATACTTAGAAAAGGCATAAGCTTTCTGATGATCCTCATATGCCTGCTTGTGTACAGAGAGACCTGATTTTTTTACACGTCTCTCGATAGCACGACCAACAGCTTTCATGTTCCGCAGCTCATCAGTGTACCAAGGAGCTGAGCGGGAGAACGACACCAGCCTCGACTTTAGAGGAGCGTGGAGCTCCAAAAGCTCCTGGAGAGATTGATTATAAAAATCCACAGAGTCTCCCTGTACTGAACAGCAACAAAGGGAAACTGACTCCACTGCAGATGCATAGGAAGAGCAGCAAACATATTCAGGGGACAGATAAGGTGCATTTTCTTCTCTAGTTCTTTGGTGTCCACCCCTTTCTGATGCCGCCCTGGGCAACTGCCCATATCACAAACCGCCACCGTATGCACGTTTTGAAACGTTTTTGTATTCAGGACGGTCTAAAGGCAGCCATCTTGTTTTAAGCATTCGTTCAGAAACTCTCCATTTCCTGTGGAACGTGTTTGATGAGTCATTTGTGAAATTTGGAGCTTGAACACCAGAAAGTTGAAAAATGTTCAGTTTTTGCTTCTGTCGAGGAAAACCTTCGCCTCCCGCTGCCGTAACGCGCTGCTGTTACCGAGGCAACGCTCCGCATCAGACCGGCTTTTAGGCCAAAACAGGTTTAATCTGGTTGTACTGAATGTTCAGGTTCATGGTGTGTGTTTAGGCGGACTCACCTCCATGTGCTCGATCTGCCGGAGGTGAGCGTTCTTGGTGGTGAGCAGCAGGGCTCTGGCCTCGTCCAGCTGAGTTTTAACCCCCAGAGATTCGTTGTAGAGCAGCGAGAACTGAGACTGCAGACATTTATATTCTGACGTTTCTTTCACGACTTCTTCTGGAATATTTCGCAGGTCCATCTGAAAGATTCAAGGCGGTTTCTGCGTTGTCCGTGTGTTTGTGTTGAAAATGAGCCGTGGATAAAAACGGTGCTGACCTTGAGCTTCTCGCTCTCCCTCACGGCCTCCTGCAGCTCCAGCTGCAGCTTCTCCAGCTCCGCCATGCGGCTGTTGGCCAGCTCCTGGTTGTGCTCCAGCTCCGCATTCAGGCTCTCAAACTAAGACCAAAACAATCCTTGACACGTCTGCAGATCACACTCTGAGATGACAGCAGCGCCGTTCCTCACCTTCTGGATGTTGAGCGTTATCTGCCCTCCGGCTAATCCGCCCGAGCTGCCGGTGCTGCTGTAGCCAGACTTAAGCTGCAGAAACAAAACATGCGTCAGAAAGACGAGACAAAGATCCAAATTCATCTCTTTTTAAGGAACTAACACGATGATGAATTTAGGGCTGAAATGAGTAACGATTCTATAACTAACCGATTAATCGATGCTTGAAATAACCGTTAAACCATTTAGGAACAGACTGACTTTAAATTGGAGCATAGACTCTAAAAAGGTCATTTGATAAAACAACAACTCAGTCAAAGAGGTTATTAAACCAAAACGGCACAAAAACAAACATTTTGCATGTAAGATATATAAATATTTTTTTTTTTTTTTCTGTAAATATGTAAAACTCCTGGTTCAAACTCTGTAAAAAGCAATTTTTTTCAATAAAGTACTTTTGAATGGAACTGAATTGAATCAAACACCTTTTGCTATCAGTTAATAATCAGTTAATCAATAAATAGCAGATCAGCCATAAACCATTTCAGTCCGGCCGAAAGCGTTCAGCTCTGCACATGTTGATGTGAGACGGATTATTTTTAGCCACAGACGCTTCCTGAGCTACAAATGATCAAACTTTCCCTGAAGGAACCATCATTTCAGGAAACAACTAAATGTTTATTTATTATTATTTATAATAATAACTATTATTATAAATAATCTTTTGATGCATTTCTAATATTGTATGAAATAAATTAAGTAGTTAAATGAAAGTTCAAAAGAATGTGACATTTTTAATGCAAATAACCGATCAATCGTCTGAATAATCGATCAATCGTCTGAATAATCGATCAATCATCTGAATAATCGATCAATCATCTGAATAATCGATCAATCATCTGAATAACCGATCAATCGTCTGAATAACCGATCAATCGTCTGAATAACCGATCAATCATCTGAATAACCGATCAATCGTGTGAATAATCGATCAATCGTCTGAATAACTGATGGAATAATCGTTGGCTGCAGCTGTAATCAGGATCATTTGAACGGGACGAGCCGTGTGACGCCTGCATGAGTTCAGGCTACATCAACAGAAATCACTGATGTTATTCATAATCAACGGCTCACATGCCACCAGGCATCACAAGCTGAATCATTTACATATTTCTATGCAAACTAATTTTCTAATTCCATGAAATGCCGCAGGAAGCTACAAACATCAGAGAGAACGGAGGTCAAAAGGTCAGTGCAGGAATAAAACAGGTTCTACTGATTTTGTGCTTTAATACGTTCCTTCCTGCCGGTTCCTCCGTAGATCGGATGTTTAAAAAAGCAGCTGACTCGCCGTGCTCCGGCTCTTATCGCCGTTTGGATTGTGGGAAATCGAATCGCAGCCAAAGCCTTTTGGACACAGGTAAGTCCGAACCCACCTGCTCCATGGCCTCCGCCAGGTGTTTGTTGAGCTTCTGCTCCCGGTTGCGAAGCTTCTCGATGTCCCACTGCAGATCCTCCACCGTTGTCTCCATCTCAGACACTTTGGTTTCTGCACTGGTCACTTTGTCCACCCACTCATTGTACTGAGACACGAGGAAAACAAACAACATGAGGACGTGGTAGACGACAGTATGATTAAATGTCATGTTTTGAAATCAGACACGCTGCACACCTGACTGAATAAAGAATAAAATAAGTTAATAAAATAATTCAACATATAAAATATGAGCAGATCAATGGAGCCACTAGGAATAATAAGTATAACTTTGAAACAACCCAAACAAATTAAATTAAATGCTTGAACATGACATACAAAGAAAAGTAAAAAGAAAATCTCTAAAAAAAAAAAATCTTTCTACGTTTTCTGGCTTTTAGCAAATAGAAATAATTTTGGTGATTCTAACTAAGTGGAAAAAAAAAGAAAAGTTTCAGTCTCATTTAACTTCAGTAAAAAATTTAATCTTTATCTGGAACATGAAAAATGTCAGATATTATTATAGAACAATTAAGAAAACAGTATGTTTATATACATTAATAATAATAATCCAACATAAAAACCTAAATTTTTGTATCCAGTTAGGAAAGGAAGAAAAAGTTTATTAAATCTTACTCGTCCAAATATGTCCCACATTATTCATATTTACACAACTAATTTTACTCCATTTGAATGTTTCTGCTGTTTCCGGGTCACATCAGCGGCTCCGTCAGGATTCGTACCTCCATGGACATCTTGTGGTGTCGTCCCTGCAGCAGCGTGGCCAGGTCCCTCAGCCGGACGTTGTCCTCCAGCGGCCCGCCCTCCTCGCCTGCTGACCACCAACATCAGTTTTAACATTTCCATTTTTAATTGGGGAAAAAGGCTTCATATTTGGCCCTGATGACTTTAAACTTGGGGATTTAGGTTCTTAGTGTAAAAGGTCGGGCTGAGCGCAGCAGCAGCTGAGTCATCGCCATGGTTACCTGCAGCCTGGATAGCCGTGCACATGTCATCAATGCGCGCGTGCAGCCGGTCGAAGACGCGGACCAGGTGGCCGATGGCGTCCTTGCTGAACAGCATGCGGTCCTGCAGGTGTAAACTCAGCTCCTCCTCGCCGCTCTGCTCCAGCGTGGCCAGGAAACCCTTCGCATTCTCGCTGAGAGGAGGAGGAGGAGGCAGCGACGCATCTGCACACAGCGCAGGACTCATAAAACAAACCGACGGGATTCAACAATCAGATGCTTGGAGTTATAAATGTTGTTTCCCCTACAGAAAAAGCTGCGGACCTGTTTTTGGATCAGACGGCGGTTCAGTCGGTGGCGTTAACTCGTCTCCTCCAGCAGGGGGCGCCGGCTGCTGCAGCTCGTCCTGGTGATCTTCCTGCCGCTCTTCCGGCTGGAGCTGCTGGTCCGTCAGGCCGGCTTCGCTCTGGGCCTCTGGCAGCGGCGGCGGAGGAACCGCCGAGGTCGGCAGGGTCAGAGCGACGCCATTGTCCTCCGTCGCCATGGTTTCCGGCGGCGGGGCAGAGGGCGGGGCGGGGCCAGACGCCAACTCCGGCTCGATGCATTTACGCAAAACTTTAACGTTATCCTCCAGCTGCGAACCAGACAGGAAGATTAAAAAACATTCAGCTGAAGACAAACAACTTCCTGCTTTATTTCCAACAGAAAACGAGAAATTTCAGATTTAACTAAAACTGTTGAAGCAGCTGCAGGTCATTTTCAGGTTGATTAAAGTAAAATCACTTTTTACTGCTGCATCCTGGGTGCACACACTGCAAAAACACAAAATATTACCAAGTATTTTTGGTCTAGCTTGAAATGAGACTAAACTAACTTACATTAACTTTTCAGCAACATATAGGAGCTTATTTTAGCCAATAATTCCTCAATTTCAATGGAAAAGTTCTAATTTGAGATCATTTCACTTACAACGGGACATTTTCCATGTATTATAAGTGTAATAATCTGTCAGATGGAATCACTGACTCAGAAAAAGCTCCTATATTCACCTGAAATGTTATTTATAAGTTAGTTTTGTCTTATTTGTAAATATCTTATGAAAAGATATTTACAATAAAAACTAGACCAAAAATGCTGTGTAAGATTTTGGGACAATAAATGTTCTATTCTTTACGTAGATTTGAATTCATAAACTCTGACCCGCTCCGGCCCTGAATGTGTGACTCGTACCCAACAGGCGGGTTCGGCAGGTACTGCGTAGCCCTAAAAGATTTAGCGGGGGTTCGCAGTACCTGCAAGAGGAGCGGCTGTCTGCTGTAAGAATCAACGGTTCACTGTGCAGCCGTGAGTTCACCCACGTTTTTCAAGAACAATTTAAAACACGACTTAATCAGTTAGTAAATAACTTTTTTCTCATTTCATATTGTTTCTGAACTGTTCTTTGCTAGAGCAGCGGTGCAACATGTCGATCAGCATTAGGTGACAAACTGACGCCGAGACCAGCAGGTCCTCCTCTGACCCGCTTAAAACGTTCATAACTTTATTAAAGAACAAAAAAATCAACAAGGTGTTCAAATTAATGACCCAACAACAATAACAATCTCAGTGATTATTGTTTCT